GGTCATTAATACATGTGTGGTAATACAAATTAAGATGTAAAACTAATAAAAGTTTAATATCAATTGAGTACAGAGATAAGAAAGAATGAGTAGATTCTCAGATTTCTTGTTTGAGTAAAGCTGGGTCTCAAATAATACGGCAAATTCTTTGAAACACAGAGGGAAGGGAGGTTATCAGCAATAACTCAAAGAGATGCATTATTAAGATCTGCATAGCAGTTGATGGGAGAATGTTGATTGGAGCAGGCAGGACTATGTGTCTGTTCCTTGTATAAAGGAATTTACCAAGTATGAAAGCTCCTACCAGGACCCCATAAAACAGGAAAGGACTTCTCTAAAGAAATGTGGGGTAGGAGAAGGGAGATAATGTTTTAGAGTGAATAAAAATAGCTATAAAACATAAGAATGAGAATGAAAAGAGATATTGGACAGCAAATTTCAAATACATATGGCACTTGAGAGAGTTCTGGGGTGACTGATTCGGATGTCAGTACTGACAAATGCACATGGATATGATCGTATAGGGAGAAGAGAGAAAGAGTAGAGAAGAGAGCCGTAGATGGGATTCAGAGGAACACCAATGTTTCAGGATAGATGGAGGAAGAGAAGCTCCTGAGATATAAGGCAGAACGATTACAGATATGGAAGGAAATCCACAAAATACTATGGCATAGAAACCAAGGATTGGACTGGAATTTAGCTCAGTGGTATGGCACCTGCCTGGCAAGTGTGATGTCCTGAGTTCAATTCCCAGTACAAAAAAAAAGTCAAAAGTTGAAGACAATTTCAAGAAAGAGGGTTTAATCAATAGTGATAGCTGCTTTTTAAAAATAGAGTTAGAAAAAAAATAGAGTTAGGGCATTTGGCAGATTTTTAAGGTGGTTCTAGAATAAAGGCAGTACAGTGAAGGTTTTAATCAGGCCTTGGAAATTCAATTGCAGAAGTTGATGAACGAATAAAAAGTAAAGATGTAGAGATACAAACATAGGCCCTTCTCTCAAGAAAATTGAATCTAAAGAGAAAAAATGGAGTTGGATGAGAAAGATCTAAATATGGTTATGTGACAAAGAAATAGAATTGGTTAAACAGGATATGATATAAGAAAGAGATGAAAAAACCCCTAAAGAAAGGAATACTTACTACCACTAGAAAAATAAGTCTAAAATAAGGTCATTTACAATACTTCAGTATGTTTGGGGAAAAGCATACAAAAAGGGAAAATATTTTTTCAAGGACAGGTCAGATAGGATTAATAAATAGAAATTTATGCAAACAAAACTGAAAACATGTAAGATGAAACTTGGCAGTGAAATAAAATCTTAAATGCATTAATACACAGCACCAAAATATACCATATTGTTTAGAGTGAGCTCTTATTCATCACGAGGAAATACATAGTCATTACAAGCAGAGGGAAATACAACCTGAAAAACATGGAGAATACCCAAAACAGACAAAAGTCACAATTTGTAGAGGCTTGGTAAACTAAGCATTATTTTCAGTTGCACAAACACAGCTCTTACTGAGGCTGGAAAATCTACAGAAGCTTTGAAATTCTATTTCTTAGCTTGTGGGAAATATCATCAATAATAATTTATTTTACCGGCTCACTCTCATTCTTTCAATAATCCTGATGAGGATTTATTATGCTGTAAGTAAAATCCAATAGAACATCACTGAGATAACACAGATTCCTTGGTGGGATAGGGAGCAGAGTTGTACCCTAAGAAAGCTTATCCAGTTTACCTATTATGGTTTTTTCCCCTGGTGCTGGGGATCGCGACCAGAGCCTTCACACTCACTTAGATGGCTGGCCCTTTTATGATTTTTTATTTTGAAACAGGGTCTTGTTAAGCCATTAAATTGGCCACCCTGGACTTGAATTTGTGATCCTCCTGCCCCAGGCTCCCAGGCTGCTGGAATTACAGGCATGTGCCATAAGCCCAGTTTACCTATTAATGCTGTCTTTGTACTAAAAATATAGAATAACACCTGTCAAAAATTCCTTTGGCTAATGGACCATATATATGGAAGATATGGGTATGACTGAAAAATACAGTAAAAAATATTTTAGTACATCATCATTAGTCTCTCTCAAAATGCTTCCCCTCAATTCAAACATACTAGTCCAATCATCCATGCCACTCTCTGAAGCAGTTCAGGAAGTCCTATTTGTGAAGGTCTTCATTTTGTATTGTTGCAGCTGCCTTAAGGCTCTGAATAAATTAGAAACATTTACCTACCAAGGTCATCTTGACTTCAGGGAAGAGCAAGAAATTGCAAAGTACCGGATCCGGTGACACTCAGAGGACGATCATAATGTTTTTATGGGCCTGCTTTCTGTTGGATGGTACATGGCAGCAGGATTCACAGTACTGTGAGCACACATCCATGAAAAGGCACTTTCAGAACTGTTTCAGAACAATGGGATACGTGTGATCAAAATAACAGGAAGTATTTTGAGGGGGTTAATAACAATGTGTCTTTTACTGTAAGAAATTTTTAAAAATGTAAACATTCACCACAGTTTTGACCACTCCTTATGTAAAGAAAATACATTAAAAGATAAATTGGGTTTAAAAATGAAAAGGACATTGGCCTAAAGAGTTAAAGCATTCCTTTTTAAGAAAGACTCAATATGAAGATGAAAAATAAAGACTCCTTCCTCCTCCATTAAATTCAGACTATGGGACAGGCATAAAAATGGAAGTATCTATTTAATTGTGGAGGCATAGACATATGTTTTAAAGATCTTACTGACTACATGTTTTTTACAGTTTATCGTTGCCAGTGCTTTCTTTCACTCATCTTTCCTCTATTGCTTATTCTATCTTTAGGGTTAAAAAACTCAAATATCTACTTGATATAGAAACTTCCAGACTTTCCTCACTAATAAGAGCCAAGCTTCCTGCAAGAGGAAGGAGTTTAATGCTCCTGTTTTAAGCTGTGATAATTGATAGCTACAGCTGGTGTAGTGTGAGATAGCGACTACATATAGTCTGCTCCTGATTCAAAAGTATATGTAGCTAAAGACAAATTCTCCTGAAGCCCCAGAACAGGTATGGGAGAAAAGTACAGAGACAGGACACACAGGCTTTATTTTAGACCAAATACCTGTTTGCTTTTCAACATTCATGTATTTCTTTTTTGTCCTGAGAAAACCTCTTCAAATGACTAAGCTAACAATGCCACTCACAGTGTGTCAGTGTACAGTGTACCCTGTAGGTGTAAAAACTCAGCTTTGTTTTGCCCTTGTTCTTGAACAAAAGCTTCTCTTTTGTGAGCCTCCTAAATGTTCCTAGCCATTATGTAGGATTACATTAACTTTAAAACAAAATAAATTATGTACCGTTTGCAAAACAATTAAAAGAAAAACCACATACACAAACACAAATACACACAATGAACTGATATCACCTTGTTCCTTTTTCTACATGCCGCAGAAGTAAAGTCAACACCTGTGGCTACACAAGGGGCAGACTTGGCAGCTGCAGAGCCCAGATGTCAGGCACTGGATTGTATGTCCCTGGCAGCAGTCCTAAATTGGATGCTGTCTCCCGAACTGACCTCCGAAATGGCCTATTGTCTGACTCCCTTTCTGGCCCGGGTAGTAACTAACAAGCTGTCTTTCGTGGCCAGTTTAGAGTCAACCCACTGATGGACTGTTCTGGATGCAATTATCCTTAGCTTTACCTTTGATTGCAAGGAATTTATTTCCTTTGTAAGGGTGAAATTGGGACTGAGTAAATTCTTGACAAAGAACTGTATTCAGCTTTCTCCTAAGACAAAATAAGATACCTTTTGCTTTGATCGCTTTCTTGTTTCCCAACTGAAATAAGAGGAAGTCAACTTTATGTTTTAATAGACACTATTTATTAATAAGAAGTAAAATTAAGTTTCTTGGGCACTTCTGCCTCTGAAAGAAGACTGAATTTTCTTTTACTCCTTAAAACAATTAAAGGTTGAAGATATAATTTATGTTTCTTTAGAAAATTAAGAAGCTACAATTTTTATTTTTATGATTATTAAAGATATCATTATGGAGAGCTCTTTGTGAGTTTTCTTAAAAATGAAAATGATTACACATAATCTCATTTCTACACTAGCTGAAGAATGACACAATGTGGGGCTGGGAATTTAGCTCAGCGGCATAAGCACCTGCCTGGCAAGCATGAGGTTGTGAGTTTGATCCCCGGTACCAAAAAAAGGAAGAAGAAGAAGAAGAAGAGGAAGAGGAAGAGGAAGAGGAAGAAGAAGAAGAAGAAGAAGAAGAATAACAATGTGTTAAGATGCATTTGTTTTGGCAAAAAGGTAGGAAGAGGGGTTCTATTTCTGATGCAACACTTGTAGCCTTTCAGGAAGAGTCTACCATCCAGTCAAGGGTCAGAATACATTATAAGAAGTGAGTCACTGAGTGATTTTTTTTTTTTTTTTTTTTTTTTTTTGCTGTGTGAACATCACAGAGTATACTCACACAAATCTAAATGGTCTAGCTTACTATCTATCTAGGTTATTTGATGCAGCCTATTGCTCATAGGCTACTGTGATGGTTTGTCCTGACTGTCACCTTGACTGAATTGAGAAATGCCTAGGAAATTAGCAAAGGCCATTCTTGAGTATATTTGCTAGCATGTCCAGAGATGACCGGATCAGGAAGGCTCTAACTTCAGTGAATTAATCCATTGATGAGACAGTAATTTGACAGCACTGCTGTGAGGTAATGGAACTTAGGAGGTGGGATCTAGTTGAAAGGAGTAGGTAATGGAGGCTGTATCTGGTTTCTGGACCCTTCTTCTCTGGTTGTTTCCTTGCTCTGCTTCCTGGGGACCACAAGTGAGCAGCTTCCTTTGCCAGTCTTTGGTCATAGTCTTTCTGCCTTGGAGATAGTTAACTATGGACTGAAACCTCCAAAACATGAACCAAAGTAAGCCTTTCCTCCTTCAAGTTGACTCTCTCAACCATTTGGTCCCAGCAACAAAAATCTAACACAACCACAAACCTACACAGCATATTACTTTATTGAATAACAAACACTGTGGTAAGTATTTGTATATTCATCCATATCTAAGCAAAGAAAGGTACAGTAAAAAATACCCAGTAATCAAACTTTTCAGCTCCATTTTAATCCAATGGAACTATCATCATACATGTACTGTTATTAACTGAAACATTGTTTTGCAGTTATAGTCACTGTAAGCAGCAAGTTAAGGAGAAACATATCTGATATTTATAGGAAGACACATTCTGAAGAAACCACAGAATATAATATATACCAACATTAGATGGTTCTCATCTCTGTATTGTGCAAAATGTTTTACACTTTATTAACTTTTATAAAAATGTATTTATGTTTTTGGTCACCACTAATTTAGACTTGTAGAAAGACTGACTATTCTTCAGCTCAAACAAATGTAAATAAGTAACTGACAAATAAATTGGGAAGAACAGAAAAATGTCCCTTGCAAATGAATTCTAAATAATTTAAGTGATATGCCTCTCAAAAGCTTAATTCCCCATATTTTGAGTATGGGATATGCTATGTGTCTTAATTCCAAAGAACAGGATATTAAAAAGGTGGGAAGGAATAATTTTACAGCAGAAAAACCTGGAAGGGTCTACCTTGGCCAGGTGGTAAGGTTAATATCATCAGTAACATGTCATGGTCACGCCATCCACTCTTAATATGACATGCTCTCACTGAAGGACCTGTCTTCTGCATAACTGTTCTCCAAACCGCACAACCTCAGTCAGTGATGTGAATACATCAGCTAAACCCAACTTGAGGAACAGTCTACAGAATTCCTGGCCAATATTTCTCAAAACTGTCAAGATCATAAAAACAAGAAAAGCCTAGGAGAGAAATTTCTGAAGTCAAGGCAAGGAGGTAGGATAACTAAATGTGTCATATCAGATAAGTTGCCAGAAGAGAAAAAGGATTAGAGAAAAACTATGCAATCTGATTAGAGTGTGAATTTTATTGTATCACTGTTGGTTCCTTAGTTGTGACAAATGTAATATTATAATATAAGATGTTAATCAGAGGGAAATTTGAGGATATTCTACACAATCTTTGTAATTCTTTAAATTTAAGCCCATTGTAAAATAAAGTTTATCTAAAATTTTAAAAGATGCTTAACATGTTACTATAATGATTGTAACAGAGTTCCTATGCATGAATTAAAACAATTTTCTCTCACACACACCTATCCACAGAGCCATGTGGCATAAACAGCAATTTTCCTGAAACATATATGTCTCTTTAAAGCCAATGTAGTCAGAACTATTTTGAGAGTCTTAGATTTCCAATAATATTTAGGTTAGGATCCCCTAATAGGCCACAAATACTCAAAAGATGTTCACAAACCTGTATTTCTCAATGGCTTTAAAAGATACTATTTCTCAATTACCTACTTACCACACTTACATTTTATGTGACTATTATTAATGACATGGATTAGTTTCTGAAAGTAACATATTCAAATTATCTCCGTAATACTGCCAAATTAATACTGGCAGTATAACTGTGATTGTGAGAAGTAGCGTGGTAAGTTCAAGTAGCACCGTTTCAGAATGTGGGTGACATTACTTCCTTAACTATTGCTCACCTGTCCTTCAGATTTATAGGAAGTCTCTGGGAAATAGGGAAAAAAAATTTATGCTGATTTCAATTTATTATTTTACTTGAGGGAGGATAAAAAAAGTGTTGGGGTCAAGGAATGTTTACTTAAACTGCTGTGTGGACTAATAAGAATTGTGCATTTGTTACTATTTTAAGGATAAGTACAAGAGCCAATCTAAAACAGTAACATATTACTGGAAAGAAAAGTATGGGAATCTTTCATCCTTGGCCCTTAATAATAAGAAAAAAATGTTCACGAGGTTATGTTTAGCAAAGTCAGAAGAATTACTTAATATAATGTAGGACTATTTTTCAAAGTAAAATACAGGGGTGTGAGGAATATATGGCTACTGTAGGGAGCTACTTTTCATATTTGTCTTTATGCAACTTGGTTAATATGCATTTTGCATTCTGTTACACTCCTGTGTGTTTACTTAGTAATGGGAATCATAGCGATCCTTAGCCCAGAACATCAATGGCATGTAAGGCACTAGGTTGCCAAGCGTTTGACATATGCCACTTAATACCTAATTACTTTTAACATGCAAGGGTACTGAGGACAATAGAATTTAGGGGACAGATTCGAAACCCTCCAGCTTAAAAGTGAGGGAACTATTACAAACTCTGGCTGGCATGAATGTCTGAACTCCTTCCCATATACCATACAATTTTGTTATCATTTCTACTATAAATATGAGCACTATTCAAGGAAACATTTATTTATCACTTACTAAGTGTTTTAACCTTGTTAGGCTTCAATTTTCTTGTGAGTGAAATAGAATTGGACAGTTGATTTCTAATTTTTTTCAGTTTTAAAATAGTGACACTGATTTATACGGTATAAAATCATTTAAACTGCCATTTCACAACATTTTTATTAAAAATAGGTCTTTAATACCAGTCTCTACTAAATTTCGTGATGGTGGTGATCTATTTAAAAATGTTCCTGTCATTTTGCTCACACCCTTCTAGTGTGATTAAGCCGGGACTAGCAATCTTACCATTTTCAAGCTTATTACTTAAACATTTACATGTTAGAGAAAAGTCACTTTTTCTTTGCACTACACATAACATATACTTAACTCTTTGCCCCTAATAGAATTGATAACTTGCATTCAGAAATGAATAATGCAGAGAAAACCATTTTTATAGATCTGAAAATAATCAAAATATTTATTTTAATTCACATTTATTTAAATATAACAATTCTATAGACAAATGAAAATACTTATAACATGGTAGACATAAGTATAAATGAAATGCACATTTTGGACAAAATTTAGCTTATAATTAGACAAATAGACTATACGCTTACATTTAATTTTAAGAGTACATGGATGCTTGGAAAAGACTGGTATTCACTAAAAGTGCTACAAAATGTTCACATTTTGTCAGTAAAAAGTATTATTTCCTAGACTAATGTTTTATGAAAACTATGTAAAGATATAAGTTAATCATTAATCTCCTATAACATTATTATAAATTAAGCACGATTTTAATAGAAATATTCCTATAACTTTAAATAATATAGCATCTTTATCAAGACCATACCACATTTACTGAACATGCATAGCACATTAAAATTTGACTAATTTATGTACCTTTATGCACAGTGTTTAGTTTTGTTATGGCACTCCATTTTTACAAAAAAAAATACACTTAAAAGTTTGGCACAGAATAATAAATTATGTTGCTACTAATCAAAGTAGGTGTGACTTCAATTTTCCATGGCATAGAAAATTCACAATTTGATTCTTCCCTTTACAATTTATTGACCATTGGCAGTTCTCCTCAGTTTTTGTTGGAATAAATAATAGATGACCAAGAACTAAAGGTCATATCCAGGTGCTTTGCTTGCACTCTACTTGAAAATGAATCAAGTTTAGAACTTGTAATAGTAAAACATTTCCATCTGTATTGTGGCAACAAAATTCTAAGTAAGGGAGCCATAAGCAGTAATATCATCATGAAATGTTTACCCAAGAGGTAGAGAGTCTGGAAATGAAATGTGGTCATTTTCGGAAATTGGAAACAGTGTGGCAGGAAAAGTGAATGCCAGCTGAGGTGGAAGCAGGAAGGTCTCCGTGAAGCTGGTCAGACAGCATGTTTGGAAGTGGAGAAAGGAAGCTGGGTATGCTGATGCATGCCTGTAATCCCAGCACTTGGGAGGCTGAAGCAGGATGATCATTGTGAGTTCAAGACCAGCTGAAGCTACAAAGTGAGCTCATAGCCAGCCCGTACTGCATAGTGAGACCCTATCTCAAAAAGAAAAAAAAATACAAAACAAAACAAAACAAAAACCAAACACAGAAGTGGAGAAAGGGCAAAGAACCAAGATGGAAACACAGCACTCATGGAGGGCGAAAAGTGTGGCTGTGGTCTCAGAAAACTCAACTGCATGTTCAGGAAGCAGCCGCTGAGTGCTTACAGCATTTCTGTATTAGTAAACCATCACTATTGGTTAGAAGAAGTTTTAAATGTCCACAGCTCTGTGTCTACATTGAGACTGAATGAATTAAGTTAACTGGAAATGCTTTTCCAAATTCATTCATACTCGGTGTGGAAGAAGAAGAAATACAATGAATGCCCCACTCCTGTGAGCCAGGAAAGAGACTTCACAGTTAAGCTAAGCTCAGGCTGCCTCCGTTCTTTCACAGATTTTAGCTGAGGGACCAGCTATAGCAACATGTTCCTTTCATACAGCTGTGATGACCTCATTTTTATATTTACTATGTGGGGGGAAGGGAAGTGGAAATGAAGTTCCACTTTTATACAACTGTAATATATTCTAAAGAATAAAACAAGGAACATGATGCTATTTTATTTGTTTAAAGATCTTCTCTTTTCTAAGGGCCTTTAAAGGGTGAAATCATACAGAACACAATGCCAAACAGGTTAAGTAAAATAGGCAATCCTTTTTTTTTTTTTTTTTAAAGCTGTTAAGGTACAAACAGATGCAAAATCTATGAATCACAGAGCACTGAGTTTTCCAGAGTGAAATCATACCAAAATCGCGATAAGTTTTCGCTGACATCATAGGAGAGCAAGTGGTCAGGAAGGTCGCTGATGGTGCCCTGCACAGCCAGGATGTGTGGGGCCAAGGTGAAAGGCACATCGCTCAGGAGCTCGGGCATCAGTGAGCTGCTCTCCAGAGTCTGGCCTGCCTCACGTTCCATCTCTGGGCCTCCTGCTACAGTCACACTGGCTGAGTTTTCCCTGCTGGTCTAAAAATACATACATACATATGTATATATATATATATTTAAAATATTTAAACAGTTTCAACTGTGAGGGTTAGTAGTGGTAAATGTGCCATCAATACACCAAAATAACGGAGAAATATGGAATACATAATACTCTCATAGTGAATGCAACTATTTGCTTGAGAAATATATCCATTCAAATATCTCTTAGCTTTAAAGAGAATTCTAAAGTCTCCTCTACTCAGGATTGGCCACTCATAGCTCCCCTGAATGCAATCTGGTATTCTTGCAATTTCTCTTGCCCAGATAACATCCACAAAGCCAATCTCTGCTTTTCTATATCTTGTTTGGCAGGATGTTTTCCGGCTCTGAAATACCCCGCATCCCTGCAAAATCTTGTATCATCAGACTCTGTCATGGGGCAAACTGCCTAGAAAACTGCTTGGTGATCTAAATACTGGCCCATAAGCACTGTTCTTATCTCCAGTTAGACTTCAGGTCCTCAAGGGCAAGCAATCTAGCTGACATATTCTTGTATTCCCCACCTGCCAGTCTTTACTGCCTTATCCTAATATATACACGAAACTTTACCTCTAATGTATGCCATGAGCACAGGTAACTATCTTTCACTGGAAACATGTTATTCACAAATATTTTTCAATTAAGAACAGATATAACTGGTTCAACTTCTTTAAATGGGTATGTCCAAAAAGACATGCACTAGAATGGTCACAATATCCCTTATCACATGTCTGAAACTGGGAGCTACCTAAATATTCATTAGTAGCAGGATGCACAATAATTAAACATTTATTTTCAGCAATGAAAATGAAGAACTTTACAAACAGTTGAGATGTAATTCAAGCCAGCTTAAGAGGGGAAAACATCACTCTCTTCCCCCTATCTCATGCAGGAAAAACTCAAGTCTATACAAAGCCTGTCAGGTCCTTTAGGGTCTGGCCTTAAGACCCTCTGACTTGTGCCCAGCAAGCTCGCCTGCACTCTGCTCCACTGTAGGCCCCAAGGCAGCTACTGCAGTGACGGCTCTGTTTCCCAGTCCTCTGCCCAGACATGCACAGGGCTCCATCCTCACCTCCTCCAGGTGATGCCGCTTTCTCAGAGGCTTTGTCTGGCTGCCTTTCCTGAAAGTGCCTACTACCGCCTCACCTCCGGCATTCTGCACTTCCTCTCTCTCCAAGGCCTTCAGGGTCTGTTCTATGCTATACCATTTTTTCTGTTTATTGCCTTCAGGTGCTGCATCCTTCATGTTCACTACTGTATTTTCAATGCCTGTATCTGTGCGTAGTGCTCAGAAAGTACTTGTTAAGCGAATGAAAGCAGACAAGATTTTTGTCTGCCTGGAGCTTAAATTCTAATAGCTATAAATGCTGATAACTTTTTCTTGAAGTATAAAATACATACAGAAAAGGGTACATCACAAGTGCATAGCTTGTTAAATTTTCATAAACTCAACACACACAAGCGACCCAGATGAGGAAGCAGGGAAGACAGTGTTCTTTTCCATTCACAATTAACTCCCTGCTTCCTCAATTACCATCCTGAGTTCTAACAGCACAGATGGGTTTGACCCGTTTTTGAATCTTAAATGAGTACTATTACACAATGTGAGTTCTTTTAGTTTGGGGTTCTTTCAGTCAGTATTATGTATATGAGATTCATCTACACTGTTGCATGTTGGATGAAAAAATTCTTGACAAACACACTGTAGCAGAGGCAATACACTTTGATGTTTTAAACGACTCACTCTGGTTGCTGTGCAGGCCATAGAAAGTGAAAGGTGGATGGCCAGTACGGAAAGCAAGAAGACAACTGAGAACAGAGGTGACCATGATGTTAATTAGGGTAGGGACAGCAAATATGACATGAAATGGCAGAATCATGAACAGATTCTGAAAGCAAAACCAACCACATTTCCTGATGGAATGGACAGCAGGGTATGAGGCCAGAGCATAGTCAAGGATGAACCCAGTTCCATGGCCTGAGCAATGAGAAGCACGGGGTCCCTATTCCTTGGGGTGGAAAAGACTGCCTCGGTGGAATCCGGGGCAGGATGATCAAGAGCTCAGTTTTGGAAGTTTGAGGTGCCTGACATGCACCAAGTAGAGCTGTTATAGGCAAGGGGGTAGCATTTGAGACTGGAGCTGGATGAGATCTGATGGAGAAAGTGGAAACAAACATCAGAATAATTTTTTCTAGATGTTATGCTGGAAATGGGAAAAGAGATATGGGTCAAGACCTGAGAAGGGAAGTAGAGTCAAAATTTTCTTTTGATTTTTGTTTTTAAGCTGGGAGAAATAGTAGTAGTTGATGAGAATAAACTCCTAAGAGAGAATTCATGGGGAATCTATAAAAAAGGAACTATTCTCTTCACAAAACATTCCCAATACCCAGAGTGAGGAACTCAAAAAAGGTTCGTTTAGTGAATGACTTCATCTTAATAAACTTATGGAGTACATCTATCAGGAGTGGCCTTACGGTTTCTTTTGAAAATAATACCAGAGTAACTTAGTGCTGAAACAAAGAGAAACATAATCACACCTTGCAGTGACCAAGTTTGTTCTAAGATCTGTGTCTGCAGTGGCTGTATTCTGTCTCCTGAAACTGAACTGGGACTGACCATGCTAAGTATCCTAGGGTAAGCCAAGAGCTCAGGTGTCAGTGAGGAAAGGTAACTATTCTAGATTATTTAAAGGGTTTTTGCTATGTGCTGGTAGGGTACAAAAAACTGAACAAGAAGCAACATTTGGGTACAAATAAATATCTCAAGATTATATAAGTACTGTGACTTTGGTTACCCATGAGCAGCATAGCAAAGTGGCTAAGAGCAATAATTCTAGAAGTAGACTGCTGGGGTACAAATCTTAGGTCTCCTGCTTACTAACAAGCAAATTGCCTGCCTTGGGTTAACCTCTTAGTGCCTCAGTTTCTTTAGCTGTATTATGAGATCAATAATAGCACCTATTTTACAGGACTGCTACAAGAATTAAACAAAGTAATGTTTGCACAGAATAGCACTTAGTATATGTGAAGCAAGTGAATTAATAAAAACTAGGAATGTCAGATCCATCCTGGCTTTGGAGAAAGTCTAAAATTCATTCACCTGTTTTGTGTAGACATTCATTGGTACCTCAAATAATCTTCTTTTTCCTTTTCTTTTTATTGTTTGCCTTTTCCCTTAAACTTAGGAGCTAATCTTCTCTAGATCCCATACAGACTGAAAAGGATTAAAAAACAACTGTAACTTAAGATAAATCAGTCTCTGGAAATGAACATATCAGCAGTTTGGATAACTCATGGGAAAAAATCGATTGCCAATGAAACAAAATAATTGAGCTGATAATTACTGAAGCAACAAAGAAGGTATGTGGGGATTCTCTACAGTGACAATTCTATCTCTGCATAAGACTGAAACATTTTAATACATAAAAGTTTTACTATATAATTAGTTTAAAGCTACCATGGACAAAGTGTTCTAGCAAATGCCTCCTAGTGTGATCTGGACTTCTATCTCTTAACAGTTGGCTGGAGGGTCTCGTTCCAGTCTCCATGGAGGCTGCCTGCCCTCTTGGCAGCAGGGCAAGCGCCATGATGCAGCTGCTGTTGGCATGCTGAGAGTTGGAAGGGAAAAAATTATAAGGCAAAATAAGAGTAAGTCACAAAGAAACTGTGAGTCAAAAATTCAAGGACCCACACCCCTAAACCTGATGACATTGCTTGGCAGCCAATGGAAGCAGAGGTGGGGGCTGAGGACTGAAACAGGTGCACAAGTTCCCGGGCAAAAAGCAGCCCTCTCTCTTAGACACAATGTCTTGTGATTTTTTCATTTGCATAATAAAATGGGTCTTTAACAGGAAGAATTAGTATGTTAACTACAATGGAGCAAGAAGAAAAGAATCAATTAACCTTTTGGTTAATAGCCAAATTTTAGAAAATTACTTCAAATATTATGTGCATAAAGAAGAATCATTATTTTTGTGATTAGTCCTGTTACAGAAGTGCTACCATGATAATAATGGCTCTGAGTATAAGTTCCTTCATGTAATCTACATTTAACACTTCTTTTTTAAACATAGCATCACCCTTTCATGAGTATACCATGTCAGAAATATTTTAATCTTAAGAACAAAATAAATTTCTTTATATCGTCATGACAAATAAAATTTATAAGTAGCTGTTTCCATATGTTTGTGAAAATGTGATTTCATATTCATCAGCTATTCTACTAAAACTGAATTTGTTCATTTTTAAAAAACACTGATCTCATACATTCAATTTACATGCAAAGAAGATAGCTGTATCAAGTATATGGCTGGCCAAATTTTTTCTGAGTTCTCTATATTCTCTTTCTTTCAAATAATCCAGAGATGTGAAGGCACTATTCCTCTTTTTCTTGTAGAAAGTCTGGTTCTGCGAGGTTCAATTTGTGAAGCCCTCTAAGAGCTTAGGAAAAAAAGAAACATTCCATGAATACAAAGCACATAACATCTTTCTGTAAAGGGTCAGAAAAACAGTCACTTCCACAGAGTAACAGAGAATCCTTAGTGGCAACCTTGTGAGTCTGTCTTGGGTGTTTCAAAGTAAGGATATTCAGGTTTAAGAACAGACAACAGTATTTTTCCTGGCACAAAAGCCCAGTAACTACCATAAAATTTATTAGAAGGTGCCAACTTTGCAAACTTTCTCACAGCTGGGCACCTCATCTACTTAGCTTTACTCAACTGAATTATGAATATTTTATTAATATAAAAGCCACCTATATTTTATATTCTTTAAAGCTTCCTGCTTTTTTCATCAACCCATGCCTCAAACAGAGATAAACCTGCCTCCTGTTAAAGCAAAACACATTAAAATTTAGAAATCACTCTTAGCTCAAACAGCACTAGAACCTATTAAAAGAACATGAGGCCAGGTATAAAACATTGATCTCATACATTCAATATACATGCAAAGAAGATAAGTGTATCAAGTATATTTCTAGGAAACAACAGAAAGAAAAAGTA